AAGTTTTTCCTAAGTAGTCCAGGAAAGATTAATGGGGAGCAGTAAAGGAGGATGGGTAGAATACAAGAATTGACAAACTGAGAAAGCAAAGACTGCTTTATGCCAGACTGCCTAAATTTCCCAATGTAGAACGTTAAGCGAAACATCTTTCTAGTAACTAGCAAGATGTGGGAAGACCAGGAAAGATCGGTGGAAAAACTCAGCCCAAGGTGCTTGACATTAGATGTATTTTCAACCTCTATGCCGTCGATGGTAGTGGGGCCGTGTGAGCTAACTAGCTAGTTATTGTAGGTCACGCTTACGTCTGAAAGTGAAATTGACTACCTGACATTTAGACGGATTAAGCTTAGGACCGTTTGAAGAAGATCACTGAATAATTTCCGATAGAAAGTTATTTAAATTGGAACAGTCTGACTGAGAGTTGACAGGCATAGAAACAGAGACGTCATCGGTGTACTTAACAAAAGTGGCTGCATCAGAATGAGGCAAGTAATGTAAAAAAAAAAGAAAACAGAAAAGGAGAAAGAACAGCACCTTGAGGAACACCAGCTAAATTAAGTGAGATAGCGGAGGACTTGCATTATATATATATATATAATATTCTAGAATAGTGGTCAATAACAATATTAATGTTTTTTAAGTAATATCGATTTGTTAAGTAAGATCACAATGGAATTATAAGTCCACTAAAGATGCATAAATTAGTCGTGTATATAAACGAAGCAAGAAAGTTGTGTGACTAGTATCTTGATATGATTATTTAGCCGTAATAATTTGTGCTTGAAACGTGGTCATCAGTAAATATTACTTACTGTATAACACCACTGTGTGTGACTTTATCAAAATAAAAGTTTTCTGCATAACAGTCAGAAGTCTGAAAAAGTCTCATGTATCGTTTATTGTTAAGACTTCTCTCAGGGGATCTCTGTTTAATTTCATTTGAATCGATGTGGTCAGTGTTGATAATTCCAAAGAAGTTGTATTGATTTAGTGACCCAGCTTACATTTTAAAGGTTAATTTGAATATTGGGCAGGTCAAGGTAATTATTTCACCACTGTTTCCTTCGGAAAGCAGATCGGATCAGATCAGATCACAATTCATGTTGTGATCTGCTTTGTTACTACCATAAATGGTAATGAAGAAAGCAAGGATAATGAACTGAAAGTATATACTACTGACTGATTGAGATGAGTAGTTAGTTGTATACTACTCGAAACCAACAATCAGTCGTGTGTGTCAGCCGATGAGATTGAATTTATCTGAACACCGGACGACGATTTCACTAGTTTGGGGGCTAAGTGATTTGTGGCATTACTAGTTTACCCAAGTAGTTAGTCGAATATCGAATAGTTTGGACTGATTCAACCCTGATGTGAGTGATTCCGGTTACACTGCTGAAAGGGAGATCGGCTCCAAGCAGGAGAAACGACCGTTCGGTGTTCAGATATTTTCAATCTGGCTGGTTAGCAATCACTAAAAACTGTTGATATGGTTAGTATACAACTACTCATCTCAACCAGTCAGTAGTATATAGTTTGTCTGCAGCAATCAAATAGCGGTAGTTATTTTATTTTTTACAGCTAATGTTGTTGTGTTCCTGAATGGTACTCTTCTTTTCCATGCATATAGTTTGACATATTCCCATCAGTTATCTCTTTACTGACTTCTGAGGTCTGTAATGTTTCATTATACGGTTATACAATCGTTGAATGCTGTCTTTACATTATCCTATTCTGTATTATTCTTAAGATTCATGAATAATCCTCATCCATCCAGCTATCCAGACATTAATGGAGGCGAACAAAACACGGAGTTCAACAAAGAGGCTCTTCGCGGCGAATTCATTTTCTTCTTCAACTGTACAGTCACATATATATACGATGTCTTTTTCACAGAAGAGGACAGTGAATGATAAAAGTGATGAGTTGTCATAATCATAGTTGTATGCATAGCACCGGCTTCTCTATCTAAATGACCACAGTTTCGGCAATGCAAATTAGACGGAAGCACCTTTTCCCTTTGGCAGGTTATTCTTCACTTTGTAGATTATTCTGAAGGAGGCGTTTTTTGAGATAGAAGGACTAGTGTCGACAATATGTTCCATTATCGTAGTCCTTATGGAGCCACTACTGTCTTTTTGTAACAAAGCGGGACAGCGTTCTTGAAGACTTCTAGATAGAATAAGCGTTGAACGACCGATGTACCTGGCTCCACAACAACAGGTCTACTTATGTATGAACCTAGGAGTGGTCAAAAGCGAGATATTGTTCTTTAGACTTGTACAGATCAATGGATAATTGAGGAACGATACTCGTAATGTTGTTGCGAAGAATATTCTTCTCAAAGATGTCGAAATTCTTCTCTTAAGGATATCGCAGGCTAGGTATTCTTTAAAATCCAGATTAAAGTGGAGTTTCTTCTTTGGAACAGTTAGTGTTTCGTTCTTCTGGACTTGTGGTCTGATGTTCTTGTCTGTGAATATTAGGGGATATCCATTTTAGATGAAGGTTTTATAGTAGTGCTTCTAGGGCGTCAGGACTGCAGATACGTTGGATTTGAGGGACAAGAGATTTAATTAAATTTTATTCTCGTTCAACAGTAGTAACTCGCTATACAAGACCGTTCCTAGCGTGTTTTCTGCGGTCTGACCTTATTAAAGTTCCTTTGGGTTTTCTTGTTCATTCCACATCAAATATAAGGGAATTTTTGATTCGCTTTTTGCATTTCAAGAGTGAATTTTATTCCTGGAAAGAAGCTGTTAAATATCTGGGGCAATTAACTATTGTGGCAAATGATGAAAGTGTCATCTGTCTACCTTGTGTCAATGGTAGATTTTAACGGACCGTTCTAGAGGCTAGCTGTGAAACAGTCTGCTAGTAAAATGGATCCAAAGGAGACCCTTTTGTAATGACATCCTTTTGTCTATAGATGGTGTCACTGGAAGTGAATTGCACATTTAGAATACACCTCAGCAACAGATCTTTTAGTTCTTTGCTGAGGTATATTTGCAATGTTCAATTCATTTTCAATGACACATTTTACTGACAAAAGGATGGCATTACAATAGGATCTCCTTTGGGTTCATTACTAGTAGACTGTTTCATAGCTAGCCTTTAGAACGGTCCGTTTAAGTCCACCGTTAACAATTTACAACTGTACAGAATACAGGTTTAGATGACACTGTCACCATTTGTGGCATAATTATGACCTGACATGACATCGATTCTCTCATATCGCTGTATACAAACAACCACGGATGTCAGTTTGACTGGGACAACGTTCAGATATTAGACAGAGGAAACACCAAGAATGCTTGAGAATTTTTAGATACATCTACATAGACAAAATTTAGCGGTCGACAGGAAGGAAATCTCACACAAAAAGGGTCAACAACTTCAGGTCAAGGAAACTATTAATACCAATACAAGTAGCCTAGAGGATGTAAAAATTTTTCGGCGATTTCATTTTCAAAAACCGCTGTACAATCGCATTTAAATACATAATTTTACATGGATACATTTTCTTGTTTAATTCCACATAATTACGAAGGCGAATAAAAAAAGGTGAACGGAGAAAATTCCGTTCTAATCCTGTGTAATTTTGTTCCTAAGCCTCTCCTCGTAAAAACCATATCCAGTTGAAAATAATTACCACCTTTTATTCATCGTCGTGATAATGTGTAATCAAACAAGAAAATGTATCCATGTAAAATTATGCATTTAAATGCGATTGTACAGCGGTTTTCGAAAATGAAATCGCCGAAAAGACAGATATCTTTTCTGAATTTAGTGTCCTCTTCTTTCTAATGTCTATATGGGTGTTTTCCTTGATGTGAAAACTCACAACAACAAAAAACAACCTATGACATTTAAGGTTTAGCAGGTGAAATGACTAATAAACTCGTGGAGAAATGTAAAGGCTCACTTCAACAAATTGAAGTATGAGCTGAAGATATTGCTTAGTAGGGGACAATGAAAGCTGCTAAACTATAAACCATCCGGCTCAGCGAACACAACTACATGAAAAAAAGTTATGATTTCATTTAATTGATACAGACATTTATCAACTGCCATCCGACAATAAAATTCTTAACATGTCCACTCATTTTGAATCTACAGACTGTCTTTTCTGGGATCCATTGTACGGTTAAGTTGATTTTTCACTAAAGGAACTTCATCTTGATAAAGTCAGTTAATTATCTATTATCTTCCTTACATCTTTGATCCCAACAGTATTGTTGTGCGCTTATTTTCAAATGTTCAGAATATTTGTTTAAGACTCCAATTACGATATTCATTGAGAAGGTATGTCTGCAACTATCATTTCATATCCTGTAGTAGAAATGCGGCCCATTGGCTTTAGCACTTGAGTTTTACTCAGCGGGTTTCAGGCCCCATTCATGCCCCACCCTACTTTATTCCAGGTTAATTGACAGTATAATTAGCCTACATTACACAACAAGTGTGGTCACTGTGACACATGAGAAATCTACCCAAGTTAATCGGGTTCTACCTAATGGACGTTCCTACTGTCAATTATGTCAAATATATTCTCATTAAAATTGAATTTTAGATTTTCCCATCAGTTGATTGGACCGGTGTGCTCTGTCTCAGGTTGACATGTGCAGATGCTTCGACGACATATGGGCATTTAGTTAGAATTGGTGGATGGTGACTAGCAGTGGAATCCAGGATGCGTATTTCGTCCTATTTGGGACTCGTCAGCTGGATGTACCTGCATTTCTCAGTGAGTGATGATGTTCCAGCTGGCGTTTAAAACCATGGCCACTGGGTTCGAACCTCAGTGGGAACATCATCACTCACTGAGAAATGCAGGTACATCCAGATGACGAGTCTCAAACAGGACGAAATGCACATCCTGGATTCCATTGCTAGTCACCTTTCACCAATTATATTTTCCTTTCAGTTTATTTTTCAATTATTATTCTACGTGAATGTTGTGTTACATCTCCCTTATTTCCCTTTCTGTTATCATCTAGGTGCTGATATGCCTGTTGTAATTACAGTGTTGAATAGTTATTCTGGTTGGGCATTATGCGCTGAAGGTTTCATGTTGAATAACAGTTTAATGACTGTAGTCGGTGCTTTAATTGGATCATCTGGTGCTATTCTCTCGTATATTATGTGTAAAGCAATGAATCGTTCCTTACCGAATGTTATTCTTGGCGGTTATGGAACTAGTTCATATTCTGGTGGAAAAGCAATGGCGATTACAGGTGGGTGATTTGATCTTTTACAGCTGTCATTTTAAGTATTATTATGTTTCATGTGTAGTTTGAAGATTAGTTTGTAAGATATCTAAGCTGATACGGATACCGATCTGGACACAGATGCCTTAATCATGAATATCGGTGGTTGTCTACTCCAACAAAGTATACTACACTAAACGACAGCTATCTGACATCACCACCCTCTCTACTTAAGCCAGAAAACACAACGTTGCGAGACCGAAAGTAATGAAGTAGGCGTGACAAGGATAATCCATAAAAGGGTGTATACATGTATCACCTTCTCATTTAGAAGAGGTGTATTACTTGTGGTCAACCTGGAAACTCACAGTTGTTTTATTGCATCTGGCTTACCGACGTCGAAGAAATAGTCTGTTATTTACTGGAAGGTCAAGAGCATTCGTGGCATCCTTCTTATGTTTTAGTTCCAAGGTTTCCGGTGGTAAACCACTGGTTCTTGTTTTTCTGTCAAGAAGTGAACGCCGTAGTAGTTGGTTTTCATACCGTGTTCCAACATCGAAAAATTTTGATGAATCAGACGACTTGGCTGCAGGTAGCTTAGATGCCAAAGTTGTATGCTTAGCTCTTGGCCTCCTCCCCCGTCAGTGCATGAGAAGCCGTGGTACAACGACAAATCATGCTTGAGAACATTTTGTTGTTCAAGGCGGAGAATTTCAACGTCAACATGCGGCAATAAAGCATATGTCACAGATCACTTTGATCGGGAAACAAGTGTAGCACCATCTTGGGGACATAAATTCCAAACAATGAAGAATTTTCGGCGGGGGGGGGGTATTGATTAGGAACATCTTCTGGGATGACTCACGGATGATGGCTATTGTATGTGTTACTGGTTTATATTTCCTTTGTGTCCAACATTTTTTTCAGTCTTGGCTACAGTGCTAGCAGAATAATGGAGGTCTTATCTTTGGGTGAAGATTGGTACTGTATGAATAACTAGGACGATGGACATTTGAAGTAAGACCAGGGAGTGTTTGGCTAGAGATTTAAGAGATCTGGCGAACTGCGTTGATTTCAATACAACTCTGACGTCCGGAGTGGACTAACCTGTTTATTCGTGTAATTTATCCAACTCTGAAGAAGCTACCCCATTGTATTTTACATAAAAAAAACTTTACGTTGGTATAGGAGCGTCAAAGTTGGACACAGACGCTTTGATGGTGGATATACGTAGGCTACTTCATCGATCATTTCACTTGTCTGTGGTCGATCTCATCAGCGGTGCATCCGGTTTCAAGTAATCTCTGACAGTCAGATCATTTAGAACCACGCCGTTGATTGTGTGTGTGGTATACAACTACTCGTTCCAATTAATCAGTAGTATATAGTGTTATAATGCTTCAGCTGTTTATCCGGGTATTCACTGAATTCTACTTTTAGAATTAATTCAAGTTTCAATGAATATTTAGATGGTATATTAAAGTTTATATGAGGGTAATTTGTATGTATACTTGTAACTTTTATGAATCTCTTGATGGAACGTTACAATAAGAATTTTCATATATATGTATATTTATATACTTAACTGATAAACTCAGACACCTGATGACCTCACCGTAATTATAAATTGCTACCCTCTGATCACTACTGCAACTACTACTACGACTACTATCCATAAACAGTGCTTAAGTTTTGTCATTCATCATAGAGAAACTTTGTGTTTTATTGATTAGAACTTATGCCTTGTTAAAGGTCAGTAAAAACAAACACCGTCCACTAGCAAATGTCTATTTATTATAAACGTTTTTGTACTTCCCAATGAATGAATGAAAAACGAAATGATATTGTTGGTTTTACTGACCTTTCGCTATTTAATACTGATGCTAATAGCTTTATCACAGTAGTGATATTAAACCAGAATTTACAAGATCTACTCAGCTTATATATAACAACTTAATCATCGTTCATCAGCATGGGGTCATTTTCACGTTGTCAAGTTGGTCGATTGGTAAAGATAATAAAACCAAGTGTAGATTGTTTACATGTGTTTGTAACAACAGAAGACAAGTGTCAGGTAACAGATCCTTTTATTACGGAAATCAGCACGTTTTTATATATATTTTATGTACATTATTAGAGCTTATTCAAGTAGACAAACGCAGTCTTCTGATTGGTCGTTTTCGAGTTTCTCGGAAAGTGGAGCTATCTATCTGCGAATCATATTTGTCCACGTTTAAGTCTGCTGTGATTGGTTGTTGAATCAGCCTTGTTCATATTTTCTCACGGCCAATATTAGTGACCTAGACATTGACGTCTACCAATTGGCTAGCAGCCTGCTCTCACCACATGTTTATATAATTAAATTGCTTATCACATTTGTGTTGATTTTGTCATTCCATGAGGAGGTGCGTGGATGTTGTAACCAGGTCGAATTCTGTTTTAGTTCATCATTCCTATTCACCAGACAATTTGGATTCCATTTGATATGAAGGACTTCTGATGATTTCTGAAATCGTTTTTCTCGTTGATGATTTCACTACTGTCAAAATCAATTTTGTGGCCTGATTCTATAACGTGTAGACGAGCTATGGCTGATGATTTTTCAAGCGTTTCTAGTTCAACTGGATTTCAGGGTAGTGGTCGAACAGACGTAGCTCTACGGTGTTCTTTTTTTATTTGCTTGATTTCTCCCTAGTGATGTTTGTCTGATGTATATCGCATCACATTCCAAACAAGCATTTTATTTTATAGCCACAATTAGATGGGGAATCTTTAGGAGTATGGTCTTTTATATGGACAAGGTTGCTTTGCAGTGTGTATGAGTCTGATGTTTTGAAGAAAACTCTAATTTTGAGCTGATTGAGTACTCTTCTGATATCGTCTGATGTCTCTGCTCTCTATGGAATGGCAACTGCTGACGTCCATGCTTTCGCAATACATTTTCGACCATACTGAATGTCAGTGTTGATTTTGTTGATAAAGTTCTTTGGGTAGTTGTTTTGCTTGAGAGTCTCAGTCTTGTACGATATTATTTCTTCTCTTTCCTTCTCATCCGTTAACATCAAAGAGTGTGCTCGTTTAATGAGACTTGAAACAACGGATTCCTTTAAGCTGGTGGAGTGTTAGGATCCAAAGTCTAATTACTCGGAGGAATTTGTTTCTTATTTTCTTGAATATAGATATGTTAAAATATCCATTATCTTTCCTCTTAACCAAAACAATCTGATCAGTGGAACTCATCAAATGGTCTTAAGTTTAATCTCACCAGAATGTACAAGATCTCATTATATATATATATATATAGCAAACATAATCATCGTTCATTAAAATGAGGTAATTTCCATATGGTTGCCAAGTTGTGGCCGCACAGCATTCATGTTGTACACACTAATTTTTACAAACAGGCATAGATAGCATCATAATAATCAATTTGGTGCTCATATTTTTGTATTAAAGTTTAGAATTCCTTTTGCCTATTATACCAAACTTGAGATATGTTCGCTGTTATTGTGGTGTTTGCTACTTGACTACATTTACCAGTAGGAAGGAGAGAAACACATTCGTCAACCTGAAACCAATCTGGAAATCTTTGTCACTCAACTCAACATTAACAACAAAATTCAGTCGGATTTTCAATACAAACAACGTCAAGTCAGTCAGCTCTTCTATACGGATCAGAAACTTGGCTAGCGGGGGGAGGGGTCACAAAGAATATTTCCAACAGTCTGTTGCAGACCTTTATTAACAACTGTCTTCGCTCTATACTGAAGATCAGATGGCCGGGCCAGAAAGAATCACCAACAAGAAACTATGGGGACAAACAAACAAAACAAGAACCAGTTGCCTGAAAGGGAAGCGGCGAGTGCGACGTCAGTGCAAGGGTGACATGGAGGAGATCGTGTGAAGAGGAGTTGAAAGAGTGTAGACTAACATGGATGCAGGTGAAAAGTACAGCAGAAGACAGAAGTGGCAAGTGAAGACGTGTAGTTGAAGCCCTACGTTCCGCTAGGAACCCAAGGGAACAATAATAATATATAATAATATATTATGTAGAGAGATGTTGATGGGCATAAAATGTCACATAGCAGGGACATAGATTTGATGTCACAGAAAGCAAACGATACAGCGTTGCAGAGGTACCTAGGAGACGTGGAAGGAACAGAAAGAAACACGATATTAAGGAAGGCCCAGAAGTAGCAGACACAACACGGAAGATCTGTGTAAATGGTGCGTTGAAGAATAAGGTGTACATAATTTGCCGATACAGAGATGCCGAATTCCAAATAAACATTCCCTTACCAAGTCTTTTGCCTTCTGCTGTTTCAAATGGTGTCGCCGCCTCCAGACAGTGAATTTCCCATGGCCAGCTGCTTTTGAAGAAAGAGACATCAGGAGCTTCTTGCGGGATTTTGAAGCCATTGCTGAGTTGGGGGGGGTGCCAAGTTTCCGATGGTGAAGATGGTCATGCTGGGGACACCACTGAGAGGTCGAGCAAAGCCGGCATTCGACAGTGTGGGGCGGTCAGCAGAGACGGGAACCTTCCAGGTACTGGGTGGACGGTAGGTGGCAGAGTTCGACAGATAGGTAGCTGGTGATGCAGCAGTTCCATGTCGCTAGGCTGGCACCGGACGGAGACCCTCCGTTGTTGGTGATGATGCTGACGAATAATCTACTAAGTCGTGCACTCCCCACATTGGATAAAGAGTCGCAGTTGCAGTTATTTGCGTCCCAGTTCATTGATAGATTCGCAGACCACATTTTCCAGCAACTACAACTGATTAACGCTGCACTATCCATGGACATCGGTGAACCAACGAAGATAACCAGACAGCTGTTGAGCACAACGTTAGGAGCAACAGAGCCACCGAAATCGGACGAATGGAAACAGAAAGTTGAAGATTTGCTAACAGGAGTAGTGGCACTACGAATGAGGGCCAGGGAAGACCGACGCTTTGAATATGGCAAAGCAGGACACTGGAGGAGGCACTGCCCAGGAAGAAACAGAAGAAACAATTTCAGACAGTATAATGTGTGTTATTTCTCTTCTACAAGGCTAGAAGTAGTGTGGGGTCTATTGAGAGGGCAGCAATGTATTCTCATTTGCGAGTGAATGGCCAAGAGGTAGTATGTTTAGTAGATAAAGGGGGTGGCAGTCTCAATAATAGATAGCAATCTACCTCCCTGCTATTCAATGTTTTATGCTGATGAACATCTCTTTATATATATAAACTACTGATAAATCTTATCAGTAGTACACACTGCATTCTGCATAAGCAGTTTACGCTAAAATATCCTACTTTATAAGCTCAAGATCTGTTTGTTTGTTTGTCATATCACATACTGAAATCGAACTGTAAGTATTCTATTAGGAACCCTTCTGCGAGCATTTCAGATATACTCATAAAAGTGCGTTAAGCGTGGAGCGGTAGAACACTCGCCAACGATCTAACTGGTCCAAACTTCGACCCCCAACTGACACACTCCTCAACGTCGCTTAGTTGGTAGTAAGCCTGATAAAGAAGAGAGATTAGATGTGAGAGTAATAACGCCACCTTTGCAAAAACTACACCACCGGTACCAAAACTTCAAAGATCAAGCTTGGAGCCTTATGTTCTATTCGGAAAGCCGACATTTTCCTTGCGAAACTAGAAAATGGGCCTTTGAAGGATATTATTAATGAACTTGAATTCTATTGTCGGTACATGGATGATACACTGTTTTGCTTATGAAAAATGAGAAGGAAGCAAATAACATCCTGGATAAATTTAACGAAGTTAATCCTTCGAATAAATTTTACTATTGGGAAAGAAAAAGACTCTTAGAATTTCATTTCTAGGCGTCGTTATGACCAGAAAAGAGGATGGCACAATAAGAAGATGAAGTGTATATAGAAAACCTACATCAACTGACTGTCAGTATACTCATCTTCTGAGCTTCATGCCCTTGGAATACAAACGCAATCTGATAAATTGCTTGGTCCGCCACAGAGCAAGAGCAATTTGCTCAGATGAATGTCTTGATAAGGAACTTAATAATATTAAACGGTTGCTGAGTGAAAACAGTTGTCCAGAAAAGTTTATTGATAAGAATATGAATCTAAAATCAAAGCAGCCCAATAGAGAGGTTTCGCGTGCGTTTCGGATTGTGAGGGCGATTGTTACTTCCCGACTGCCCACACCGTGGAAGTTGGTTGCGTGACCGCAGAGCCCAGGGGACAACTGCTTGAGGACGGTCACACGCGGCCTGTTTTTGTTCGTTCTCTTTTGTTTGGTGTGCCTCAGTAGCATACTTATCACTCCTGTCCTGTGACACGGCAGCAGGAAGCGCGGTCGTTGTTAATCCGGGCCACGGCCGATCCGGCATGAAATTTTGTGATTTTGTATTGATAATGATGTTGGATTGGGTAGCTGCTTTTTGTTTAACCGCTATCCAAACAACCTGCCTGGCATGGTAGTACCTCAAGAGACATAAGTCTCAGCCAGTATAGCTTGATTAGGTCATTGCGGTGTTCAAGCCCGACCACCACGTCAAGGTAGCAGCTTTCGGTCGGTAACAACAGCTCCTAAAAAGGCCTTATTCTTACGAATGCAGTTCCTTGGGGACAACATCAGCGAGATACTAACACAGCGCCTTAGGGATGGGGTAAAAAGAGCTTTCCCTGCTGCCACTCCTCTTTTGCGTTCGCGAGTAAAAGACAAACTGCTCTTGTGGAGCCAGTTACATAGGCCTTACAATTAGGCGTATTTCTCATTGAATTTCCGAACATCACCCTACAAAGTGGCTAAGCAAAGGACAAACAAAATCTACTCACACATAGCGCTATTCTATCTCATCTTGTGGATACAGAACACAAGATTGATGTCAACGAGGCGGCTTTCAAAGTCATCTACCTCATACCAGCGAATCTCAACTTCGCCTTAAGAGTTCGATTACTAAATATTGCTGATGCTGGCTGTTGGTATCCATATTACGAAGCCTAATTTGTGCATCCAAAAGAAGCTAGATCAGACATTGTCCTTACCCCGTTGGCCATCTGGGTTTGAATGATTCTCAATTTTTTGTGGAATTTTTCTAATTTTAGTTGATATTCTATTTCCCTGCTATATCTTTATTATGATTATTATAATTTAAGCATCTTTAATGAACTGTGGTAATTCCATTGTGATCTTGCTTTAAAAATCGATATTATTTAAAAATAGACACTCATATAGTTATTGACTACTATTCTAGAATATTCTATGTATATAAACATAGGTATATATAATTGTAGAGCCAGAAAAGGATATTCTTCGGTGCTCAATTATTTTGTGTTGTCTGAATGAATATTTTTGCTATATTGAAATGTCTGATCATCAATTTTTACTCATGCATATAAACGAAGCAATAAAGTTTTGTGACTAGTGTCTTGATATGAATATGAGCAGCAAGAAATTGAGCTCAAAAGGTGGTTGTCATCAGTAAAGATTACTTACTGTATAACACCACTGCGTATGACTTTATCAAAATAAAATTCTATCCATAATGGAATATCCTCTCCTCTTGATCTCACCTGTGAATCACTTAGTTATACTAAATATCGAAAAACTGCCCTTATAAAAATTGCCTTGCAACTTTGTTTCTTCACGTTACTAGTGGAACCTAGGGCTTCAAGTTGGAGCTTTGAGGCTTCACTATCATAGACTCGTTTTTACGGAGTAGGATTGTTCGTCTCATGCCCAACCTTCCCTCTTTACTGGCCTTATTACAGGCTTAGCAAGGCTTACGAATGGATCTACCGGAGATCGAAATCAGGACCACATGAGATGTAGTTGGCGAGTGTTCCTGCTGATGCACGAACTAGGTTGAGTGACACAATTGTCAATCTCTCAGGCTCTATAGAGATGGTCACTAAGACGAACCACTTCAGATACCAATTTGTTCCTCTGTATCCAGAAAACACAAAAGTCACGTAAACGACCAAGATTAACAGAGAATAATATGTACATAATGTTATGTTATGTAATAACACGCAATCATTTCCCCAAGAAAAATATATATTTTCATTAACTACTAATCTTGAATATTATATATATATATATATATATATATAAACATATACGTATATATAATTGTAGAGCGAGAAGAGGAAATTATCGGAAAGGATATTCTTTGCTGCTCAATTATTTTATGTTTTATAGATGTCTGACTGCATATTTTCGCTATATTGAAATAAAATTAAGGAAATGTCCACAATAACAAATTAAGGATCATTAGAACCTTGATGGTCAAGGTAAGTAGGGACAGTGTCTGAATCAACTTCTTTTTTTGGATATATAAGTTAGGTGTCTTAATGTGGATCTCAACAGTCAGCCTCAGCATTATTTGTCATAGACGAACTCTTAAGGGGCAAAGTTAAGATTAATTGGTATGCAGTAGATGACTTTGAAAGCTGCCTCGTTAACAATCAGTCTTGTGTTCTGTATCCACAAGTTGAGATAGAATAAAGCTGAGTAGATTCGGTTTCTCCTTTACATAACCATGCAGCATGATGAGTTTTTATCGTCGGGCTACTGAACATTATCCTGCGTGGTTATGTAAAGGAGAAACCGAATCTACTCAGCTTTATTCTATCTCAACTTGTGGATACAGAACACAAGACTGATTGTTAACGAGGCAGCTTTCAAAGTCATCTACTGCATACCAATTAATCTTAACTTTGCCCCTTAAGAGTTCGTCTATGACAAATAATGCTGAGGCTGACTGTTGAGATCCACATTAAGACACCTAACTTATACATCCAAAAAAAGAAGTTGATTCAGACACTGTCCCTACTTACCTTGACCATCAAGGTTCTAATGATCCTTAATTTGTTATTGTGGACATTTCCCTAATTTTAGTTGACATTCTATTTTCCTGCTATATCTTTATTATTATTACTATTATAATTTAAGCATCTCTAATGAACTGTGGTAATTCCATTGTGATCTTGCTTTAAAAATCGATAGTTTTTTAAAAACACTAATATTGTTATTGACTACTATTCTAGAATATTTTATGTATATAAACATATAGGTATATAATTGTAGAGCCAGAAAAGGAATTTATCGAAAAGGATATTCTTCGGTGCTCAATTATTTTGTGTTGTATAGATATGTCTGAATGAATATTTTTGCTATAATGATAATAAGAACTGTAAAATGCTTATTCACTAATCAGTATGCATTAATGTGATATAAACCCTTTTCATATTCACAATAATTACAGGTACTCATCGAGAAACAGATGTACCAACAGTTGTTAGTTACCTTGAAAATTATAAAGATATTATTATCACGCCTGGTTACGGCTTGTGCGTTGCCAAAGGACAATATCCATTAGCTGAGCTAGCTAAAGAATTAATTAAACAAGGGAAACGTGTACGATTTGCTATACATCCTGTTGCAGGTAAATGATACAGGGCAAGTTGTTTTTAGTATATGTGTAATTATTATTATTATTAACTGAGTTTCGCTATGTTGAAATGTGTTTATGCTGTGTATTATCGGTCAGTTGACGCGTGTACTATGCAGCAGTTTAATCTGTCCTCCTTTATGACTGTAGGACTTCGCCGTTGAGAGTGGAAGACCTGAAGAGGTTGGCTGTCTTTGTCAACGGATGTGTGAGTTCTATCTTCTGTATTAATTAGAATAATATGGTGAGCGATATTGAGATTAGGCGGCGAATGTTAGGTGAGGGAGGGTAAGTTGGTCAATGAGGTCGCCTGGGAGAATCGATTACGATGTCTAGGACAAGTGTTACGTATCCTCAACCACCGTCTTCCTCGACATCGGGGAATGTTGGCTAACACATGATCAGGTTGAAAGAGAGATAGTGGTGGTCCAAACTGAAACTTGAAATCATTTCATGAAATCTTTAAAAGTTGGTTTGAACGAGATGGAGAGGTGTTGACTGCCTGGTTCGTTGGAGTCCTCGGGATGCTAAGAATGACTGTCTGGATACTGTCGGTGTTATGTCTCAAAATCCTTCATAATGGCACAAATTCATTCACTCTTTGTGATTTTCCATATTTATTAAACATCCTACTGATTTCCTATATCACCAGTCTTCTTTCTTCCTCATATTTCTGCTCAGGTGAGCTCGTTTGAATCTATTTTCGTCTAACCTTGTGTGTTAGATAGACTGTGGTAACTTGAACTGGTGTACTTCTGTGTAATGCTCACTGTCTTGAAAATCCTGATTGAGACACTTAAAAGTTGAATGTCACACAAACTCGAAGGCTTACAGGCGAAAAGCAACAAATTTACTGAAGAAGCGGGACAGGTGGCGAATACAGGACTCCAGATGAACATAGAGAAGACGAAGGTGATGTAGATAATCAACCAACAGCACCAGCAACAACAACAACAACAGCCAACACCAGTTACCATCAGCGAGAGAGAGAGAGATTTAACAGAAGTTATCTCCTTCACTTATATTTAGGTAGGCAGAATTGAAAAAAGCAAGATACGCCTTCATCAACCTGAAACCAGTTTTGAAATCTTCTGCACTCAGCATATAAGGAACAAGATTCGGATTCTATTCAACACAAATGTTAATTTCAGTCAGTGCGTCGGTAGCACAGTGGTTAGGACTCCCACCGACCATGCACATAGTCCGAGGTTCGATCCCCTGCCGACGCACACCTGATATCTATGGTTGGCCTGCAAAATTTGAGCTACCGATATCACATGCTGAAAATTCCATACTTGTACCAAAAATACAGTGTAGAATCAAGGTGTAATCAAAAATAAATAAAAAAATAAATAAATATGGGCTAGAAACTTGCACTGTGTGTGCATCTGTGTCATAAAACGTATTTCCAACAAGTTACAGATTCTTTTCAATAGAGGCTACCATCGCTGGCTTCATACTAAAGATCAAATGGCCGGCCCACTGGCCAGAAAGAATTAGCAACCAGAAGCTCTGGCTGGGCACACACTGAGGAGACCGTCCAATAGCATCTCGCGCGCGAAGCAGGTCAGTGCTTGAGTGTAATTTCAATGGGAAGTGACAAGTGAGTCGGCCTAGAGTGACATGAAGGTGATCATCTGCGGAGGAGGAGATGAGAGATTATGGGCAATCGTGGTCCAAGTTGAAGAGGATGGTAGAAGATAGGACAAAGTGGAGGTGTGTTGTTGAAGCTCTATGTTCCATTCGGAACCCAAGGGAATAATAATAATAATAGACACTTAGAAGTGCAAAAGATGGTTGGAGGCAATCGGCAGGATGCCTTGAACCTAGGTTTCATGCTAGTTGACATTCGTCAGCAAGGCGTATCTGCATCCTTGAAAGGACTTATGTCCCTTCAGACAATCGAACCCGTATCACCCAGTACGGCAGTCAGAGACATAACCACTGACACCAAAATAGGACTAGACACATCACACTAGTTACTATTGTCCAATCAAAGTATACCAGTGTTTGTTAAACAATACAGATTCGTTAAAATCGGTGAAGTTAGAGCTCAAGATGTATGCATAAGGTATAATAAGCATACAGATGTATTATTAAACAGAATATCAGATAAAATTAAGAAAAATTTATACAAAAAATTAAAGATCTGGATTTCATCATGAGCTGACATTAGTTAGAGAACCACTGGAAAACCTGGGAGTACTGGACAGCTGTTTCGTCCTAGTTTGAGACTCTTCAGCAGTACGCACCCACCGGGATTCGAACCCAGGACCTTCCGGTTACAAGGCGAGCTCGTATACCATTAAGCCACTGGGACCCGATCCAATGGTCTTTGAATTCTAACTTCTGCCAATTCACGACATAGCGCAACCGCTAGCGAATGTCTTCGGCGAGTATTTGTCCTCATTGGCTAGCGGTTGCGCTATGTCGTGAATTGGTAGAAGTTAGAATTCAAGGACCATTGGATCGGGTCCCAGTGGCTCAATGGTATACGATGGCCAAGGTAAGGAAAATGACTGTACAGATTTCTTCTGAACACACAGGTTTGGCTTGTTCTTCAGGTGGATTCCTAGTGCTTCAGCTGTATGTAGAAGACAAACTCGTAGAGCAAAATTAAGATTAGTCGGAATGCGATAAATAATTTTCAATGCTCTATTAACGTCAACCTAATGCTCAGTATCAACAAGGTGTGCTAAAATAGAGCTAGCTACGAATAGATCTTGTTTGCCCCTTCCTTAACCATGTTGGATGATGTTCGACAAAATTTACCAGTCGATAAGAAGGAAATCTCACACTCACAAAGGGACAAACTTCAAGTAAAGGAAACAATCAGTTCCAATAGAAGTAGCCTAGAGGATGTGAAAACACACAAAAACGACCAATCACGACGTTATTCAAGGTCACCCGCCAGGAGAGATGATTAATAAACTCGTGGAGAAATCGAAAAGCTGACTTCATCAAATTGAAGTGTATGCGCTGAAGATATCGCGTAGTAGTAAGAGGCAATGAAAGCTTCTCAACTATAAACCATCTGTGCGTCGGTGGCACAGTGGTTAGGACTCTCACCGACCATGCACATAGTCCGAGGTTCGATCCCCTGCCGATGCACACCTGATATCTATGGTCGGCCTGCAAAATTTGAGCTACCGATATCACATGCTGAAAATTCCATACTTGTACCAAAAATACAGTGTGGAATGGTGTAATCAAAATAAAAAATAGGTCAGAGGACACAACCACACCAAAGTCGTCATACCATTAATCATACTGACGTATATATATATATATATATATATATATATATATATACCCTTTATTTTAAAAATAATTTAGGACGTATGCCTGGACAGCTGAATGTTCTCCTGGCTGAAGCTGGTGTACCATATGATATTGTCTATGAAATGGATGAGATAAATGATGATTTTCCCAAGACAGATCTAGTTCTAGTGATTGGAGCTAATGATACAGTGAATTCAGCTGCTGAAGAAGATCCAAATTCAATTATAGCTGGTATGCCTGTTCTACGGGTATGGTTAGCTAAAAAGGTATGTCATACGAATTTAACAATAAAAGTTAATAATAATATATATATATATCATCGGAAAAGTCCAGATCCTCCAAGTTGTTATTGTGTGAGTCCATTTTATTCCTGTTTCCTCGCTGCCCACCGCTGTCTGTCGCATTATCCAATCTACTGCAATCAGGAAAATCGTTGGAGATAGCAGACACCCTTGCCTCACTCCCGTCCTCACTTCGAAGGCTTCCGTAAGTTTCCCGTTGTGGATTACTTGGCGTGCAGTATTGTCGTCCAACTGTTGGATGAGATGTATAATTGTCGATGGGACCCCGTAGTAGCGAAGTAGTTGCCAAATCACCTCTCGATCGACGCTGTCGAAGGCCTTTTCAAAGTCGATGAAGTTGAGATAGAGGGGTGACTGCCATTCCAAGCTTTGTTCAATGATGATTTGTAGAGTGGCGATTTGATCAATACATGATTTGTTTCTCCTGAATCCGGCCTGTTCCGGTCGAAGTTTTTCATCTAGGGCTTGTTTGATTCTCTCCAGTATGATGCGGCTTAGTATTTTGCTTGTGATGGACAGAAGCATAATTCCACGCCAGTTTTTACATTGACTTAAGTCTCCTTTCTTTGGAAGTTTGAATAAGTATCCGTTCTTCCAATCCTCGGGTACTTTGCCCTCTCTCCACACCTTCTCCAGTAGTGGTGTCATCAAGTCCGCTGTTGTCTCTGGGTCCATTTTAAATGCTTCTGTTGGGATTCCATCTGATCTTGCTGCTTTTCCAGCTTTTAGCATCTTGATTGCATTCAGTTTATAGTTAATTATTCACAAGTAATATTTCCTTTAGAGATAAGATTTTATTTTGATAAATCACACAGTGTAGTGTTATAGAGTAATATTAACTGATGCGATCACGTTTCGAGCACAAACTATTGCCACTCATAAACATATTAAGACACTCACTCACTCACACAACTTTTTCCCTTCATTTATATACGAGTGTGGAATTGTGATTAGATATTGGAATAAAATCAGTAATATAAGATAAAGTACATTCGGAAATAATAATAATATGAGTGTTATGAATCAAGTACAATCAGATGGGAAATAAGATGCTCTTTCCATAGTAAAATAAATAAATAACTTGTTAAAATGTTGCAATGTGAATTGAATGAATACATTTTAACATTATTTATTATCCTCCTCTGATTTGACTAACTGGTGGTAATAATATCTTCCATACATATCTCTGGTATTTGCATTGAGTCACGTTTATTGCATGTGTTGGGTGTAGATTATTCGATGAACCCGGCAGGATTCAGTAATCAATCTCTCTCGCTTTCCACCTGCCTATATTACTTCTTAGAATTGTAACTCTGCCTCACTCACCGTATTGTGTGATTTAGAGTTAAAGCATGCAGCATGACTGCAGATTTTTCCCCTTACTTAACTTCGTGGAATCAGTCATTTTAACCATAGCTAAATTCTAATGTTCTGACAGACAATCGCACTACTTCCGATCTTCTAGTTTGACCTATGTAGTTGACCTCACTGACAGTTATTGCAAGGTATTTTGTAAATTATATTATTCTGTTTAATTGGGTCAATCTACTGGGTTATTTAGCCTACAGAGCTTGTCCTACCTGAGTGAGTTTGTCGGAGGGGTTGAATGCCACCCTAATTCCTGTTTTATTGAGAATCCTACTTAGAATCTCAGATGTCCCCTCCTTATATGGTAAAACCACGGTAGATGCCTTATATTCTCCCTTATATATGTTATCATTATTAGTTTCCCCATTATTTTCACTTTGCTTTTGATCTTTTCTGATCTTCCTAAGGCATTTTATGGGATAGTTGGTTGTTTGACACCAACCAGCCATCCCCCTTCTATCTGTTTCATTTCATCACTTAGGTCTCTTTTTGTGCTACTAAGTGCTATTGCTCGGTTTGTTTGACACTTAACTAAGCCAGACTTTACAGACAACGGATGAGATGAATTAAAGTCTAAGTATCTATTAGAATGAGTTGGTCTTTTGTACACACTAGTGTGCAGTTTACCTTCTTCTATTCGTTTTATTTCACAATCTAACAGCATAGCTAATTCTCCTTGTTCATTTTCCGCTTCAAATGTGAATTTTATTCCCTCCACTAGTGAGTTTATATGTGTCAAGAAGCTAGAGATATGTCTATTTTTATATACATGTGTGGAATTGACTAGATATTTGAATAAAAAACAACTAATAGAGGATAATGTACATTCCGAATCATTGATATGAGTGTTATTGACCAAGTACAGTCAGATGGTGTAGCGATGGGATCACCAATATCCTCTATCGTAGCAGATATCTTTATGGATAGCTGGGGAAATATTCCTGTGAATACATTTATTTAATCCTACTCCAAAAATACGGTGGAGATATGTGGATGACACTTTCACAATGTTAGAAACAGAATATATCTCTACCATCTTGATGCTTATAAACTCTACGAGTTGATCACGGATTGATATCAATTAGAGAACCATTGAAAACCACGGAGTACTAGACAGCTGCTGTTTCATCCTAGTTTGGGAATCATCGGCAGTACACACCCACTGGGATTCGTACCCAGGACCTTCAGGTTACAAGGCAAGCTGCCTCGTATACCATTCAGCCACTGGGACCCGATTCAATGGCTCGTGAACTCTAACTTCTACCAATTCGTGATTTAGCGCGACCCCAATCATTGTCGTTGGTGGGACATTTATCCACACACGTGACATCTAATTGGACCTCACTGGTCACAACTTCTCACTAGAACTCAGGAAACTCCAACCTGTAGCAAGTCACTAGCGAGCATCAGATTAACTTTCTATAGCTTTTGGTTTGTAAGGATTAGGATGAAACAGCAGCTGTCCAGTACTCCCTGACTGGTTTTCAATGGTTCTCTAACTGATATCAATCCGTGATCAACTCGTAAAAACAAAACTAATCCTTACAAACCAAAACTATAGAAAGCTTATAAACTCACCAGTAGAGGGGATAAAATTCACATTTGAGGTGGGAAATGAATAAGGAGGATTAGCTTCGATGTTCAGTTGTAAAATAAAACGAAGAGGAGGAGGTAAACTGCACACTAGTGGTGTTTATAAAGAGCCAACGGATTCTAACAGATATTTAGACTTTAATTCATTTCATCCGTTATCTATCTGTGAAGGCGGGCTTCGGTGTTAAGTGTCTAACAAACTGAGCAATAACAACACTAAGTAGTACATCAAAGGACCTAAGCGATGAAATGAAACAGATAGAAGAATACAATTGGTGGATGGTGACTAGCAGTGGAATCCAGGATGCGCATTTCGTCCTATTTGGGACTCGTCATCTGGATGTACCTGCATTTCTCAGTGAGTGATGATGTTCCCACCGAGGCTCGAACCCAGTGCCCATAGTTTCAAACGCCAAAGCGTTATCCACTGGACCACTTGGTCCACAAGAGCCACCTCTTGTGCAACGGGTCATATTAATTATTGAATTGAATTTTTGATTTTCCCGCCGACATGTCAACCTGAGACCGAGCACTTCGGTCCAATCAATCGACGGGAAAATCAAAAAATCCAATTCAATAGATAGAAGAATAGCTGGTTTGTGTTAAACAACTAACTATCCTATAAAATTCATTAAGAATATCAATAAAGGTCAAAGGTAAAATAAAAATAATGGTGAAACCAATAATAACAACATAAATAAGAGAGAATATAAGACATCTGCAGTTTTACCATATTGGGAGGGAGGGGACATCTGAGACCCTATGTAGGATTCTTAATAACAAAGCAGGAATTAGAGTGGCATTCAAGCCTAAAAACTCACTCAGGGATAAGCTCTGTAGGTGAAAGGACCCAGTTGATTCAGTCAAACAAACAATAATATAATTTACAAAAGATCTTGCAATGACTGTGAGTGAGGTCAACTACATCGGTCAAACTAGTATGTCGGGGTAGTCAAATTGTCTGTCACCACTGGGGATATTGGTGATCCCATTGCCACCTCATTCGTTTGTTTTGTGTAGTTAATTTTGAAATTTTAACACATTGGAGGTTAGATATAACTGGACACCTGATATTATTTTATGAATCGAGGATTGGCTAGGAAAAAAAGCTGGTTAAACCGTAGTCTGACATTAATCCATGAAATCTTCAGCTGTTGGCTTGAATCACGTAAACAGATGTAGCCCACTGGTTGGGGGTAGTCGAGATGCCAATACCCAATGGTTCAAAATCCTTCCAGTTGAGGCGGAAGCACTGACCATTTTCGATCTACAAAACCCAGTGAATTCCGCAAAAGTTCAACAGCCAACTCGCCACCTCTCATTAAACACGTATAAAAAGCGGAGAGTAAATGCAAAGAAACTTCAAAAGCCGTTAGTTTGTGAAAGAAAGAATAACTACATGCAGAATTATTTGAATTTAACGGGTCTTCGAGATCACAAAGAGTCAATATACACCTACTCCAATAAGAACTACTTTGAGGCATGTCATTACCAGTCCCCCACCTACTGATTCCTAGCGTCTCGACAACTTCAACAAAAGTAGCCCCTACACCCCTTAAACCAACGATTAAAGACTCCCATTCAGTCATAATCTACTCTAAATTTAATTACTACCGATCGTAATATAGATTTTCTGTGTTCCTCTTTTTTTTGTTTTTCTTCTCCACTAAAGGTGATCGTGGTGAAACGAACCCTGGGAGTTGGTTATGCTGCTGTGGATAATCCTGTTTTCTTTAAAGAAAATACTGATATGCTATTGGGTGATGCTAAAACTATATGTGATGGTCTTTTGAATGCATTTAAAAAATAGCACATTCCCAGTCAACAATAAACAAGAAATTTTCTTCAGTTTATTTCTTTATACTACTTAAAACATTCTACTGATTTCTGCTTGTGAATATATGTATACATATATGTCGACTAAATAGATTTTAGTCTAACTGAAATTGAATATTTCCTTGTTGCCGGTGATTTTTTTTCTGTGTTCAATAAAATAATGTTTGTGCCCCCCACCCCCGCTTATTTCAATTTCGATTAGATGTTTTACGTGGTTTCTCTTCTATCTTAGTTTTTTCCCAACAGTTTCTGCTGGTATGACAGGGATTTATTATAGTGTGTAAAGAAACACCTAGTGTTTTCTTCATTTGTTCTTCTGCTGTAGTTCAAATTTAAATTTTCCGCTACAAGAGTTTAGAATAGGAATGAAAGCTATCGCGGGGTGATTTCGTGCATAGTGTGGAAAATTTGACTTCAGATATTCCCCTGTTGATAAAACACTTTTAAAATAGCTAAGCATAAAACATGATATGGTTGCAGTATTCCTCAAAGCATGTTACACTGCCTGAGGAGGTACTGATAGTACTTGGCTGCCTCTGCTGTAACATTTCTTTCATTCCTTTAAGTTCCCGGCGAAACGTATGGCTTCAGGCTGGAACTCCAAACTTTCGGTGGCAGTGGTATTTACTTTTACGGGAAGGAGTTTCTAGCCTCATGCCCAACCTTCTTTCTTTACCAATCTTATTACTGGCTAGGGAGCTTAAGGTGTGCATCTGTCGGGGATTGAATCCCTAACCACCTGCGTGGTTGGCAAGCATTCTACCACTGTGCCACCGGTGCACCTGCCCTAACTATTCAAGTATACTGGAGTGAAAGCGCGCCTGGTTTCTCTTCCAGTACCTTATTATCATCCCTGGTATCATAGCTAAAGTTAATAGTTGATGAAGAAGGATATTCGTTGAGTTTGCCTTCAGCTTGACATTTTTGCGTGACTATCACATCAGAATGTGACGCAATAAATAGAATGGTCTTAATGAAGTGCGTAACAGACAGCTTGTTGAAAGAAATATTGTTTATATGTTCCCGTTTTGCAACGTCATCACAATTCGATCAGGGCATTTGGTTCTAGGCTGAAGAAATATGAGTATGCACATGTGAATAAAGGAGGATTTAATTAACTACATTAAATAAGTAAATTAACATGAAACTCTGCGTATGTGATCATCTTGGTCTCTGCGTGATTGCCTGAGTTCGATGGCATCATCGCGTAAGAAATTCTGAAGTCCGGCGTCGTGTGTTTGAAGAGAGTGGAGACCGCCATTTGTTGAGTGTTGTCATCTGGAAACACCGACTCCGGTGGCTCGGACATGTGCTGCGAATGTCATCCCAAAGGCTTCCGTATAGGTCTCTGTTCGCTGGCCCTGGGACGAGATAGAAAAAGGCGGAGAGATGGTCAATTCATGACGTCATGCCGTAGGATGAAGGATGTTTGTGCTAGATTTAGCATCGGTTGGTGCGTCACGACTCCCTGGTTGGGGTCCGAGAGATAGCTCGAAATGTTATTGGATATGGCCAAGAATCGTAATCAATGGTGAACATTTTGCAATTTCCTTCTTTCTTTCCTTCCCGATGATAGTTGACGAATACAGTTTGGACTTGTCGAGTATGACTGTTTTCCTTCCAGATGAAGTTCTTTATCTGTTCTCCACCAATATTTTAACTTTCAGTCTATGTTGTTTTATTATTATTGTGTGGCGCATCTTCTTGGTGCCATATTGTAACAAGTTCCTCTACGTTTAAATAAAGTATTAGCGGTAAATCACTGTCAAGAAGGTTATTAACAATGGCTTAGTGTGTATGCGCGGTCGCTCTCATCCCTTGTCCCCTAACTTGCTGATGATCGGGACTAAGTAAACTGAGACCTAGGTGTGGTGACACTGAGTACAAACAAGCAGTGGTTACCGTACATCAGCGGCACCAAAATATCAGAAGACAGAGACCTGGCTGTAAATACATAGACAATTGTAGTACCTCTATACCAACTGTAAACAAGCTTTTCAGTCTTATTTGTACACTTATATTATATGTTTACACAGACCGATTTTATATGTACTTCGCAAACATTAGTCAATTTACTGTTGGATATTACCTTGACACAATTTTAAAAATTCGACTGCGGCTATAATACACGATCGTACTCTCCGCAAGTGCCTTTTGGTTTTATGTTGTGTGCGTCAAGTAGCCACAACGTCTACGCACATTAACAAAAGTGAAGAAGTACTAGGAAATATGTGTACGCTGATTTAGTCAAATAACGCGCGCAACACAATTTCCCTAGACAAAATGCATCATGTGTACACACATTTATTAACAAAGAATCACCCTAGACTAATGACTATGCGACCCATTCTACTCGGTTGTATTATTCTAGGAATCATCCATATAATATGAATCTAATTTTGAAACACAGAAGAATACAACAACTAATCATCATCCTAAAAGCTTTTTTGCTTTAATTAACTTTGACAGCACAGTTTTCTCCATTCCACTTAACTCCTGATTTTGATGATAACTTTAGAGTATCCTAAACATCTGTGTGGGGAAGAAACGTCTGGCTGCATCAGTAGCTCTGGTATTTTAAGGTGGAATACTGGTCTTCTGCAAAACATACGACTAGCAAATGTATCATTTTCCAAAATCTCCTCAGAGAGAGCGCTCGTATGTAAACATCTTTTAACATATGAGCTGTTTAATAGCGTTTCACCTTCAGTGAAGCCTGAGCCACGCTTGGAATTGTAAGCAGTGCCGGCATCATTTGTTTCCAGCTTGCCAGTTGCTTATACATTAAAAGTCCAACTGCCTCTTGAATGTCAGCCTCGAAAGACCTCCAGCATAAGTTGCACAACCAGGGGTAGTGGTATACTGAGTTGACTTTCCATGGAGCGTGCTGGGAAGATGCAGTTTTCGATTTGGCGCAACTATAATACAGCATACCGTTGTATATTAAATGATGGAAATCCTGCCAACCACAGTCATTTTTACTGGCCGTGACAGTATTAATTGTATGAAGCACCTAGACGATTTAGCCAAGAAGAATCTAGAAAAACGTATACGAATGTCAAAAAGTGAAGAATTTGAGCCCGTATACCGACATAAAAATTATTCAGCATTCACAAATGCTTAATAAGTACGTATGTGACTCAATTAATCTAGAACATTCTAGAAAATAGGTTGGTTGAGATGCCTGAACGAATTTAAGCTGGTTTCCGATTGACTTTAACTGGAAATAACACGCACGATTGTTGTGTAGCCATTTACCCACGCAGACCTGAACTTTAGCCATATTATCTGATGACTGTTTATCTTGGCTCACTTAATCTGGCGGACATACGTCAATATAGAGTTGTTATGTATACTACTCTTCCTATAATAGAGCATTCGGCAAGCCTTTTACGTGACATGATTTTTCTTAGGCTTGTCTGTGCAGTGCATAACTGATTTGTATGGCTACTCATGGGAGTAACTTTGCTTAACTGTGCACTATTAAATGAACTAGTGGTGCGAATGGCTCACCGTCGTAGAGGTCTCCCAAGTGTCCAGGATCATACTGTACGCCAGTTTTGTCTCATAGATGCCTAGTAAATGCCTAATTAGTGGGTGTGTCATTACGTGAATAAACTAGATGGTCCAGATAGTAGTCATCTGCCTGCCTCTGAACTTCGAAGTAGATTCCTGAAAACGGTGAAACTGCGAATGGCTAATGATGTCAGCTATGGTTCTTTAGATTTCAGATTCAGATTTATTGGTGAAGGTCAGAAGGTTTGGAGCCTATGTTAATCTTTTTCTAGTCATTTCGCTGCACTCTGACAATTTGTTGAGGTCCTCATGCAACGTAGGCGTATCACTGTTGCCCACCAGCTCTCCCCCAAATTTTTGAGTCATCTGCGTATACGACCATAGGGGAATCGGTGAGCAGAGATTGATCCTAGCCCTCTGCCTTGTTTATATGATGAATTCCCTGAGTCACTTTACTAATCTGCCTGTGATACCAAGACTTTCCAACTTCATGAGTAGTCTTTTGTGAAGTACTTTATCAAAGGATTTGCCGAAGTCTAAGGGTTTTCTGTTGTCCCTTGATATGACCCAGCTTCCTCTTGCATTGGGGAGATTTGACAGGCTTGAGGAGTTTCTTCGGAAGCTGTGCTGTGCTCCGGATAACAATTTGTTGATTTCCAGATATATCATGATGCTTTTCTTGATGTTTCTTCCCAGTCTGTTGATGGAAGTGTTGGTGAGACTAATAGGCCTGTAGTTTGAAGGACTTTGTCTTGATTCTCCTATGTGGGTAGGGGTTACTATGGCGTCTTTCCCGTCTCGCGGTAACACTCCACTTAGGAGAGAGAGCTTAGAGGTCGTGATCATTGGGTCGGATATATCAGCTGATAGCTCCTTGAGAAGCTTAGCACGAAGATTATCAGGACTCGTTGATTTCTCTACATCTAGTTTCTTTAGGCAGTTGAGCGTCGTCCGCTTAATTCTAGAGCTTCAGACTGTCTTTTGGCGCTGTGCGCTGGGCATAGTTCGGCACAGGCGTATATGCCGCATCCTTAAAGAGATTGAGAGTTGCTTAGAATGGCGTCCTTCTCCTTTTTGAGTTTAGTACAACCTTCAGAAGGCATACAAACTGGTTTGCTATAGGCTTTGGGCCGATTCTATATAAGCTGCGTATGGTTATGCCCGATAGTGTTGTATGCATTAGACTATCTTAGACGGGCTTAAATAAGTTAAGGTAGTGTTCAAGTCTGACCTTGGGACCGGAAGCTGCTGATTCTTCCGCTTCGTGGAGATACGGTGACCTGTTGGAAAGATCAGGTTTGCTTGACGTGGGTTTCTTGCTCAGTGGCGTAAGTTCCTCTCCGTCCTTCGTGGACAATGTGACCATTATGTTGTATTTTTGTCGATTTTGCAGGAGACTACATCACGCCATTCACTGGCGTCCCCCTTGCTAACCGTAGTCGATTGTATCTGTTTGCTATCCACCGGAGTGGATGGGGCTTGATCTACAAGTCCTTGGCTGCGGGTTTCTGACCACTGGCACGCCTCTTCTTCGTGCCAGTTTATCTATTACTGTTACTGAAAAAAATAAAAAAGTCAATAAGTGCACAAAAATGGATCTGTATAACTACTGAGTTATAAGAACGCAACTTCCTATAATTAGATAGACTCAGAAGTGAAGCGTAAACTAACTTCGATCAAAGGACTGATTTAATGTTAATCTATAGACTTTTGGAGCGTATAACACAACAAAAGCTGAAATTTAACAGTAGCACGCTAAATTCACTCCCTTTTCAAAGTTCCCGCTGTGTTTACATAATATCTGGATAACTGTAGTAGTTCCGAAGCTGATTCACGTAATTATTCTGTGATCTGCAAGGGAATGCGGTTTTCTAAAGTGGCAGCTCGAAGTTAAAGATTTTTATGAACGATTCGCAGAGCCTTTACAAGAATCCCTAGAGATATGTTCACCTCCTTATATACATTTATGGTTAGGTCAAGACTGAAAAACTGTATCCAGGTAGCCAGTCCTTGTCTTAAGGGGTACTCTCATATTCTGGAGAGGGTTCAAAAGAAGGTGACACGTATGATTCTCCGCATAACCAAACTGAGTTACCTTTCGGACAATCAGTTACATCAACTTCTAATAAAAAAGCTAGTAAAAAGAAAAGTGAATCAGGAATGGACGAGATGCCTTCGACCCCTCAGTCATATGATGATCTGTCAAGAGATCGTCGTCAAATTTAAAAGCCGAAACGAGAATATGAAGAACGTAATGTTGGGAAGCGTTTACGGCTTTCTGAAGCCCTGAAGGCTTGCAGCAATGTTCTGAAAGATATTTCATCTCAGAGGTATCGAGATCTTAATCATTTTTTCTTAAAACTAGTGGATGTAGTGGCCCTTGGACTTCATGATTACTATGTTGTCGTTAAAAACAGAATGGATCTCAGCATCATAAAGACAAAGCTAGAAAGCGGTCTGTACCACACTAAGTATGATTTTGCGGATGACGTCTGGTTAATGTTCAACAACTGCTACAAATATAATGGTGACGATAGCGAAGTTGCAAGGGTGGATAAACAACTACAAGCTATTTTTGATGAGAACTTCGCGAAAGTCCCGGGTGACGAGTCAGATACAGCTGCCTCTCCTGACACTCGTCCAGCTGATCGGAATATGTAACAGCTGATCCAGAATCCTATCAAAGAACATCAGAAGCTAACAGCTTAATTTCAACGCTTTAGTGAAGATTTACAGAAAAGCACGGCGAATTTGAACTCTATTTTATCTTTCCTGAGTATGGTTGTCAGGAAAGCACCTGTTGGTCACAACTCACCGCATGTCAATTCACTTCCTCCGCAAACTGGCGATTCCACCGTTACGCGTACTGCTATGAATGACTTAGAAGATAATAATAATAATAATAATAATAATAATAATAATAATAATAATAATGTATATTCTCATTTTGTACATGAGAGACGCCAGTTTACAGGCATCATCAATATGATAAATTACATATACGATTAGCAATCATAATTAATAATGTTTTAATAAAGTACACATTTTTCCCTACTTGTGTAGGACACACCAAATATACAGGCATGGATAAGCATTAATTAAATTTCATAAATTCGGTTTATGGTTAAGTTACATGGTTGCTGGCGTTTTTGTTTTAATAATAATTATAATAATGTATATTCTCATATAAACATATAAATTTACATGAAAATGCATACCATTTTTTTAGGTCTGTGGGAACAATATGATAACCAGTCATTCAATGGAGCACATCATGAAATATAGGAATATTGACTTCGCATTAACAAAAAAACCCAAGTAAGTTTTGGATGGATTAAAAATACTTGGGAAAAAATAAAGCTTGAAGTTATTCCACAATATAACAAGTCATTCAATGGAGCACATCATGAAATATAGGAATATTGACTTCGCATTAACAAAAAAGCCAAGTAAGTTTTGGATGGATTAAAAATACTTGGGAAAAAATAAAGCTTGAAGTAATTCCTCAATATAACCTGGGTGTGTACAAATCCGAATCTCATTTTTGATTTGATTTATATCCAAATTGGGTAATAAGGAAGCTATTTTTACAGATACGATCAGTTATGTTATAAGTTTTCCATTGGTATAAGCGTATATTCCACAAATGTAATCCAGGTTGCGTCGTGGAGAAAGTTAATTCGTTATTAACCAGGCAACTGAAAGATACGGGACCAATAATGTTTGCAGATCATTTGTCATTGTAAATGGTCAAATATCCACATTATTGATTCTCATTCAAAAAGTCAAATGGAAGCTGAAATGGTGAGAGAAAAAAGAAGACAAACAACAGCAACGCAAAAGAAAGCAACGGGAGTCCTTAAGGAGTGATTAATAAATATATACACATATGTTCTGTTTAGTAACTGTGGTTATTTTGGTACACAAACTAACTAGTCCCGTTATGCTAACTTTTATATTATGTGTGAACTAATATTACTGTCCTGTGTAGAAATGTTAATCATCTAGTTCCAATAATATTAAAATTTATAATTGTAGTTTATTGTAACTACACGTTTAAAGAACTTAAAATATCTATGTAGGGTGAAAAAGAAGGTGTAAGAAGATGTAAACTCTACTAAGAGAAGTAGACAATCTCAGTCGAAAACAAAGTATCGACAATCAGGGCTACCTGCTGCAGCCCCGCCCTCAATACACCAAATGTTCCAGTTAGCAGCACAGTTAACATGAGCAGCACACATTCCCAAACTTTGCCTGTACCAGGATATACTACGGATGAAGAAATGCCTGAAAACAACGTTCGACCGATAAAATATGATGAAAAACGTCAGTTAAGCTAAGATATCAATAAGCCACCTGGAGAAAAATTGGGTGGAGTCGTTCAAATAATTTAACAGCGTGGACAATTACATCGTGATTGTAATCCGGATGAAATATAGATAGATTTTGAAACACTCCAGCACACAACTTTACGTGAGCTAGAGAAATATGTGAAATCTGTTCTACAAAAAGCGAAATATGGTAGTCGTAAATGTGTGAAAAAGAGGATTTACCGGTGTTCCAAAGGGAAAAACACATGAAGAGTGCATGAAAGAAAAAACGGAAGAATTAGAAAATCAGTTGAGAGAAATCCGAGGACTTCCGCAAGGTGCTGCCGGATACCATAATGCTCATGATCCAAAGAAAGTGCATGATGCTAATCGCCTAAGTGCATCCTCATCAAGTTCGAGCGATTATGAGAGCACTTCGGACTCCAGTGAATCTGAATCTTCAGTTTCCAAATCCTGCAAGGCATCTTCGGATCATAAACAGCTGTTGTCAATCAAGTCTCATAAACCGATAATGCCCAGCTCTCGCTACGCTCGGGCCCACGCTGTTCCTTTGAGTTTCAGAAACGCTTAGTAATAACGGACGCAAAAACCAAAACACCGATCTGCCGCTTTTTATTTCTTTATTGTTACACCAACATATAAAAGGAATAAACGAACTAAGCAACTAAGGTCTGAAAACAAATATTACAATAATAAATCATTGTTACTTCTGACGATGTTTCACTCTTCTTTCTGAACAGCGACCGATGAGACGATGACTGTCGTATTGATGCCTCCGCGAAAATTGGGGAAGTTGATTTTGAGCAAACAACCAAGAATTGATCGTTCAATCTTCAACTCCATTGACACTCCCCGGCAAAAAAGGGATCCAACCCTTTTTTCCTTCACGACCAATGCACGTCGACTTGGATGCCATTGCGAGAACCTGGGTCACACGGACAGAGCTGAAATGGAAAACAAACAGAAAAGCCAACACACCACAAGCATACCCACAGCACAATCTCACACATCAATGACGACCTGCGCCTCCAGACAGAGACCTCCTCTTGACATCTTGCAACACAATCGCCGTTTGCTAGAATGACTCTTGCAGAATGCAAAGTGACCATGGCAGCACCTCACGATACTCTACGCACATCCTCTTATCTACTCACTACCAATTACCATTGAAATCGCTTGTCACTCATTCTGCCTCAGTTCTAGTAGCGGTGACGCATGCGAGCCTCAGTCGTTTACACTCTTTCTCCCCGGCGTGTCGGACCGCAGCTAACAATTATCTCCGTGTGCGTTTCATTCTCAGCAATAGCCTAGCCTCCCCGGCGTATACGACCCATCTGCTGTCCTTAACATCAATCAATTCATTCACGGATGTAGAAGACTCGAAACAACTTCAGAAGTAATCACGACGAAAATTTTAACAAAATTATGCAATAAAAACAAGATACGAAAACAACGAGTAAACACAACTGATCCAAAATCACAAATTGCGAAGACACACCACACGTATACACAAACAGTACAAATAACCTCGCGGATCATGTCTTGGTGGAATTATTTTGAAGAATTGGAGGACTTACACCAGTACGCCTACAACCCATCTCAAGTTGACGATTGTAAGTTGTGGAATGTCCAGACACAAACAAGATTAACCAACAATTACATCAATTGGAACTCACACAACTATTTAACACAAACATATGTACAATCAACACATCAAATGTTGTGGATTCTGACACGACAAACTACCCTTGAAGAACTGTAGGACTTACAGCAGTACGCCTACATTCCTTCTCAGGTTGATGATCCAAGTGGAAGTCGTCCGGACACAAACAGAATTACCAACAGCTAGATGACAGATGATATCAATTCAGTATATACAATATGAACATATGTACAAAATCACACACCAAGCACATTGGACTGCTCATTGATGCGCTACCCTTTGAAGAATTGTAGGACTTACAGCAGTACGCCTACAACCCTTCTCAGGTTGACGCCCTAGGTTGGAAAATCGTCGCAGAGTTCATTTGCTAACTTCCTTCTATCAGCTATATCCTCAAATCTGAACGGCAACACGCCCATGTCATTGTATCGTAGAATATAGATGACCAACAAACACACGACATATCTCATCAACCAAGTATAGAAACAGAGTAATTTACACCAAAGATAATAACATTCAAATAGTAACTTGAAACTAGAAATGCCTTTATTCGTGCAAGTCAATTTAACAATTACTCTCTCGTTTACACTTGGCTTATCCACACTAAACTGACCATTGATATTCGTCCTTTCAAACGCACCAATACTATCATAGTCATTGCACAAGATACTTGAGTTGATGGACGTCTTTTTCATTGTGGATGACAACACCAACGACGACTGATTGACACAAGTTGATGAACTTAGCGGTGGATCAGAAGCTGTTCTTGTTCGGCTTTCAGAAATTTGTCTAACTGCAAGATTACCACCACTGCTGTCTTTTACTATCAGCCCGGATTTAGCACTATCATCTGATGATAGGTGGGCTACACGCTGATCAATTACACTGACTGTCTCACAAGTATGCACACCTTTTGGAACTGCATCTGCGTTCAATTCTACTTCACGTTGTAGTTGTACAGAACCTTTATTTAACTTAGCAGTAGTAGGCATATCCCTCATCTCATAATGATCAACCAAAGACATATCTGCACTATCATGATCATTATCACGAATATTCACTTTACCGTCAAGTTCATCATTTTCAAACTCTTTAATAACAGAAGTAGACAATTTTGGTTCCTCCTCACAAATCATTAAAGGTTTTATAACTTCACTCTGACTAGATATACTTTGTAAACTTGGGGAGTCAGAACTCCACTCTGAAGCAGTAACTCTATTCTGTGACACTCTATTCAACAACGGCTTACCAGTTGCAACTACAGACTTCCTGACCGCACCGTTATCGTCACACAATTCGGAGTCAGACCTGGAGTTTACATTTAGCTTATCACTGAACTTGCTCACCGGTTCACAGTTCACTTCTGTATGCACCTCTTGCACACGTGTAAAACACAACCGTGTTTGTCTTGCATCTTGTAACTTATCTGTTGAGGATGTACTACGAAACCTGTTACACTCACTAGATCTATATGCATTACTAGACATCATGGAGCCTTCTCGATATCCACCTCTCTGAGGCCTGTTCGTCATCAATGATTGTATTTTGCTCTCAAAATGCTCTAATCTAGGGGTGAGATGCAATATACTGGCAAACTTGCTCATAGATTCATTGACACTAGTATTTACCAGTTTCAGGATATCATCAAACTTTGGCTCGATACCCTCATCCTCCATACGGGAGCTTATCTTCACCCACTTCCTTTGCAGTCGAGTAGGTAGACGTCTTGATATTACCTCTAGGACTGAGCTCGAGTTTAGGTCACTCATGCAATTCATAGAAATCGAGGTATTTTTATAGGCCATAAGATTATCCAAAAACTCAGTGAGTGCCTGGGAGTCATCCTGTAATTGACCACCATTACCCTTAACAGCCTCGAATAATTTCCCTACGATCATCGAAGGTCTTCCAAACCTTTGACGCAATATGCTCATAGCCTCATCGTAGCCCTCTTTTGGCTTCATAAGCTTACAGCACTGTATAGCTCTTGAAGCATCTCCAGTGCAATACCTCATCAAATACATTAACTTCAATTCATCATTTAATAAAAAACCACTCAACATGATCTCAAACTCCTTTACAAATTGTAAATAATCAGCCGGGTTTCCATCGAAACATCGTGGTTCAAATTTAGGGAGTTTGATGTTCCTATTATCCCTGAACGGCGAAACGATAACATCAACCATGTTATGTTTAACATCAGACACATCGTTACAATTAACAGACAAGTCACCATGACTTACTTTCCTGTTTGCATCCAAGACGCTCTGTCCGTTCTTTGACCCAGGCATTGTTGAACTTGACCCAATTCCAAAAAGTTCCAGATATTGCTTGTTCAAAGAGGACTTGACCGGCACCAGGAAAGATGAACGGTGACTATCCAAACTTTCACCAACTGTTTGAATCCGCCAGATCTATTTCTACCATCAGAATCTGTCAGTCACGTCTCATAAACCGATAATGCCCAGCTCTCGCTACGCTCGGGCCCACGCTGTTCCTTTGAGTTTCAGAAACGCTTAGTAATAACGGACGCAAAAACCAAAACACCGATCTGCCGCTTTTTATTTCTTTATTGTTACACCAACATATAAAAGGAATAAACGAACTAAGCAACTAAGGTCTGAAAACTAATATTACAATAATAAATCATTGTTACTTCTGACGATGTTTCACTCTTCTTTCTGAACAGCGACCGATGAGACGATGACTGTCGTATTGATGCCTCCGCGAAAATTGGGGAAGTTGATTTTGAGCAAACAACCAAGAATCGATCGTTCAATCTTCAACTCCATTGACAGGTGTATTACCAGGTAGTCACAAGTGCACTTCAAAATTTTTCAAGATCTGATACTTCTTTACCGTCAAATTCAAGCAGTGTGACTGCTATGACACCAGTTAATCAGCCATCGGCAACTTCTGCACAAGACATTGTTACAAGTGGTCATTATAATGATGCCGGTCATTCGAACACGTCCGTTGAACAAGTGACTGAACAAAATGAGTCACCAGACACAGAGTCTGAAACGAATTTTCCTCATCAGTTGCCTCAGCCTGTATGGTCAGTTTCAGGTTTTTCTAAGAAGCCGTCTTCTGGTGACAGCACACAGAGTAGACCCTGAACTTCAAACAGTTGTGTTGTTACATCTGCATCTGAAGTGACATCTTCTAAAATGGATAAATCAAGGCCTATGAATCTAGTACCGGAGCCTATTGAGGCAGATGATCTTTCGTTACCGAATTCACAGTCTGGTGGAGACGAAGAGAAAGAAAAACAAAGAGCCGCTCTTCAGATAATGCGCGAAGCTCGTAGGCAGTCAAAGTGGAGTTCCCGGGCTGCTAAGGAGAGGGCTACTCACGAACGTGAGGAGGCCGAGAGACGTCGACTTGAGGCAGAACTCTCTTTAGAAGCTGAAAGAAAAAGGAAGCAAGAGTTGCGAGGCATTGAGGAAGAGAAGCGTCTACTTGTTGAAGCTAGAAAGCATGAAGATATTGCCAAGCGCAATGGTTGGTACACCAGAAGGTATTAATGCTCATGAATAGTTAACTGAATTCCAGAATTCAGTTGAAGTATCCTGTATTGATGCATGCTTTGCAATGCGTCATTTTTAAATCCAATATATATATATATATATACATTTGCTATGAAAAATTATCAAATAAAAACAACAAATAGGTTCAAAAATTCCTCATTCCTTAATGAAGTTGGAAATAATGTTGTCAATGTAGTTGAAGATTGAACGATCAATTCATGGTTGTTTGCTCAAAACCAACTTCCCCAATTTTCGCGGAGGCATCAATACGACAGTCATCGTCTCATCGGTCGCTGTTCAGAAAGAAGTCAGGAGAAAACCGTCAGAAGTAATATTGAGATTTACTATTGTAATATTTGTTCACAGAACTTAGTTGTAACAGTGTTTATATGTTGGTGTTACAATAAAGAATCCTCGAGTCGCCAATTGGTGTTTTGGTTTTTTCGTCCGTTATTACTAAGCGTTTCTGAGAAACTTCAAGGAACAGCGTGAGCCTGAGTGTAGCAAGAGCAGGGCATTAACGGTTTACGAGACGTGGCTGACAGTTTCTAACGGTAGAAACAGATTCTGGCCGATTCAGATAGCTGGTAACAGTTTGGATAGTCACCGTTCATCTTTCCTGGTGCCGGTCAAGTCCTCTTTGAACAAGCAATATCTGGAACTTTTTTGGAATTGGGTCAAGTTCAACAATGCCTGGGTCAAAGAACGGACAGAGCGTCTTGGATGCAAACAGGAAAGTAAGTCATGGTGACTTGTCTGTTAATTGTAACGATGTGTCTGATGTTAAACATAACATGGTTGATGTTATCGTTTCGCCGTTCAGGGATAATAGGAACATCAAACTCCCTAAATTTGAACCACGATGTTTCGATGGAAACCCTGCTGATTATTTACAATTTGTAAAGGAGTTTGAGATCATGTTGAGTGGTTTTTTATTAAATGATGAATTGAAGTTAATGTATTTGATGAGTTATTGCACTGGAGATGCTTCAAGAGCTATACAGTGCTGTAAGCTTATGAAGCCAAAAGAGGGCTACGATGAGGCTATGAGCATATTGCGTCAAAGGTTTGGAAGACCTTCGATGATCGTAGGGAAATTATTCGAGGCTATTAAGAGTAATGGTAGTCAATTACAGGATGACTCCCAGGCACTCACTGAGTTTTTGGATAATCTTATGGCCTATAAAAATACCTCGATTTCTATGAATTGCATGAGTGACCTAAACTCGAGCTCAGTCCTAGAGGTAATATCAAGACGTCTACCTACTCGACTGCAAAGGAAGTGGGTGAAGATAAGCTCCCGTATGGAGGATGAGGGTATCGAGCCAAAGTTTGATGATATCCTGAAACTGGTAAATACTAGTGTCAATGAATCTATGAGCAAGTTTGCCAGTATATTGCATCTCACCCCTAGATTAGAGCATTTTGAGAGCAAAATACAATCATTGATGACGAACAGGCCTCAGAGAGGTGGATATCGAGAAGGCTCCATGATGTCTAGTAATGCATATAGATCTAGTGAGTGTAACAGGTTTCGTAGTACATCCTCAACAGATAAGTTACAAGATGCAAGACAAACACGGTTGTGTTTTACACGTGTGCAAGAGGTGCATACAGAAGTGAACTGTGAACCGGTGAGCAAGTTCAGTGATAAGCTAAATGTAAACTCCAGGTCTGACTCCGAATTGTGTGACGATAACGGTGCGGTCAGGAAGTCTGTAGTTGCAACTGGTAAGCTGTTGTTGAATAGAGTGTCACAGAATAGAGTTACTGCTTCAGAGTGGAGTTCTGACTCCCCAAGTTTACAAAGTATATCTAGTCAGAGTGAAGTTATAAATCCTTTAATGATTTGTGAGGAGGAACCAAAATTGTCTACTTCTGTTATTAAAGAGTTTGAAAATGATGAACTTGACGGTAAAGTGAATATTCGTGATAATGATCATGATAGTGCAGATATGTCTTTGGTTGATCATTATGAGATGAGGGATATGCCTACTACTGCTAAGTTAAATAAAGGTTCTGTACAACTACAACGTGAAGTGGAATTGAACGCAGATGCAGTTCCAAAAGGTGTGCATACTTGTGAGACCGTCAGTGTAATTGATCAGCGTGTAGCCCACCTATCATCAGATGATAGTGCTAAATCGGGGCTGATAATAAAGGACCGCAGTGGTGGTAGTCTTGCAGTTAGACAAATTTCTGAAAGTCGAACAAGAGCGGCTTCTGATCCACCGCTAAGTTCATCAACTTTTATCAATCAGTCGTCGTTGGTGTTGTCATCCACAATGAGAAGGACGTCCATCAACTCAAGTATCTTGTACAATGACTATGATAGTATTGGTGCATTTGAAAGGACGAATATCAATGGTCAGTTTAGTGTGGATAAGCCAAGTGTAAACGAGAGAGTAATTGTTAAATTGACTTGCACGAATAAAGGCATTTCTAGTTTCAAGTTACTATTTGAATGCTATTATCTTTGGTGTAAATTACTCTGTTTCTATACTTGGTTGATGAGATATGTCGTGTGTTTGTTGGTCATCTATATTCTACGATACAATGACATGGGCGTGTTGCCGTTCAGATTTGAGGATATAGCTGATAGAAGGAAATCAGCAAATGAACTCTGCGACGATTTTCCAACCTAGGGCGTCAACCTGAGAAGGGTTGTAGGCGTACTGCTGTAAGTCCTACAATTCTTCAAAGGGTAGCGCATCAATGATCAGTCCAGTGTGCTTGGTGTGTGATTTTGTACATATGTTCATATTGTATATACTGAATTGATATCATCTATCATCTAGCTGTTGGTAATTCTGTTTGTGTCTGGACGTCTTCCACTTGGATCATCAACCTGGAAAGGAATGCAGGCGTACTGCTGTAAGTCCTACAGTTCTTCAAGTGTAGTTCGTCAAGGCAGAATCCACCACATTTGATGTAGTGATTGTACATATGTTTTTGTTAAATAATTGTGTGAGTTCCAATTATTGTAATTATTGATTAATCTTGTTTGTGTCCGGACATTCCACAACTTACAATCGTCAACTTGAGATGGGTTGTAGGCGTACTGGTATGACTCCTGCGATTCTTCAAAGGAATTACATGGAGACACGAACTGCGATTTTGTGTGTACTGTTTGTATATATGTGTGGTGTGTCATATCAATTGGTGTTTTTGGATTCATTGTGTTTACTCGTTGTTTTCGTACCTTGCTGTCATTGCATAATTTTGTTAAAATTTTCGTCGTGATTATTTCTGAAGTTGTTTCGAGTCTTCTACATCCGTGAATGAATTGATTGATGTTAAGGACAGCAGATGGGTCGTATACGCCGAGGAGGCTATTGCTGAGAATGAAATGCATACGGAGATAATCGTTAGCTGCGGCCCCACACGCCGGGGAGAAAGAGTGTAGACGATGTGTGCGTAAGAGGATGTGCGTAGAGTATCATGAGTTGGTGCTATGGTCACGTTGCATTCTGCAAGAGTCATTCTAGCAAGTGGCGGTTGTGTTGCAAGAGGGTGTGTCAAGAGGATGCCTTTAACTGGAAGGCGGAGGTCGTCATTGATGTGTGAGATTGTGCTGTGGGTATGCTTGTGGTGTGTTGGCTTTTCTGTTTGTTTTCTATTTCAGCTCTGCCCGTGTGACCCAGGTTCTCGCAATGGCATCCAAGTCAACGTGTATTGGTGGTGATGGAAAAAAGGGATGGATCCCGTTTTTGCCTGGGAGTGTCAATGTAGTTGAAGATTGAACGATCAATTCATGGTTGTTTGCTCAAAACCAACTTCCCCAATTTTCGCGGAGGCATCAATACGACAGTCATCGTCTCATCGGTCGCTGTTCAGAAAGAAGTCAGGAGAAAACCGTCAGAAGTAATATTGAGATTTACTATTGTAATATTTGTTCACAGAACTTAGTTGTAACAGTGTTTATATGTTGGTGTTACAATAAAGAATCCTCGAGTCGCCAATTGGTGTTTTGGTTTTTTCGTCCGTTATTACTAAGCGTTTCTGAGAAACTCCAAGGAACAGCGTGAGCCTGAGTGCAGCAAGAGCTGGGCATTAACGGTTTGCGTGACGTGACATATATGACTAAATGAAAAGAAAAACAGTGCATACTGCTTATTATTGTGTTTCTGTTGGAGCTGCACATATATATATGCATACTCGCTGCCTCTGATAAAACATTTACATTCCTGATATGAATTTTGTGTGTGTAAACATTTTTTCTGCCTTCTCATAGGCAACATTTCATTCATTCTCGCAGATTTTGTACATTCTTTTCCCTAGGGAAAAATTACTAGACAGTAATGATATGATACATATATATGAGTGAATAAATTAATACATAGACATAAAAAAATAAGGATGGAGTATGGCGCTAGCTGATCAGTAGATATGGTGGTGGTCACTATGGTGAATCACCCCATTCTTCAGGAACAGCAGTATGCAATTTGACGGCTCGAGATTTTTCTGATTTTTCTGAGGGCCTAGATCTTTATCTTGAAAAAGATAATAATGAACGACTAGACAGATCATGTTTCTGCCTTTAAATATATACCATTCGATCAGCCTATTGTTGAGATGCGACCACATGGACTCTGCGCAGATTTATGGGCATCTTATAAATTAACTTGCTGTCCATTGTCGGATCTTTAAATACCACTTCACAATGTCTTGTCTCATTTATTTTCTAATAACGTCTTTACTCGATCCTCATTATATTCCATTAAACCTAACATTTTATAGCTCTTTATGTATTTGATTCGACTTATTCTATTCCTATTCTCTGGAGGGTACGGTTGTGCACTAAATGCACAAAAAGGTATAAAATAAAAAAACCGGAATGAGGATAAATGTAATAAAACTAAAAGTGGACATCATGATAGTACGAACTATATGGGTAGCATTATACATTGCAAATGAACATTGTCAGCCTAGGGAGTTTCCTTTATTAATGCATTTACTAATGATGCTTGCACTTGCCTATTTCATTATACTTTATT